TTAACTTTCATAAACAATTTCTGTATTTTATTTTGTAAAATTTTTCCGTATAAATATAGAATGAATATGTTAAGATTATATTTTTCTGAAATTTAATAAACTCGTCTATGATTGTTAACGTTTTCTTAAAATTATGAATAAACATTTCAGAAAGAATATAGTAAGACTAATTATTTTTCTGAAATTTAATAAACCCTTTTCTACGCGATTTTCGGTATATTGTAACTCATTGATTTAGTTTTATGCGGGTTTAAAAAAAATATGGAACGTATCCTTTATTTTTATACATGTGTCTAGTCCTTTTTTGTGCGATTTATTTTTATGCGTTTTAGAATATTCCTTAGTAACGATTAGATATTTTGATTAATAATGAATCATTGTTTTGAAATGTTAACTTGAGAGAAATGGAACTACTTTGGAGTTTGAAGATGGAAAATGAGCTGTGGAAATATAATTTCTTTCAATAAGTCTCAGCGTTGTTTCGTCTTCGGCGTGAGTCAAAATATAATTTGTTTAGTTGTATTTTATTTTATGTTTTTTTTTTGTTAATCCGCGGTTATTAAGGAAGACAAGTGAGGAGTCGGACAGATGCGACGCTATTTCAGGCGTCAATGCTGATTGAAATATGCGGCTCGCTTCCTCCATTATAACCTGCACACACTTCATGCACTGAAAATAACGCGCATCTCGCATTACCGAAACGACCATTGATTTATCGAGAGTAGACGAGTAGAAGAGTAGAAGACCTCATCTCACCTCACCAAGAGATAATTTTATCTATAAACTGAATGAAGAGAGAGGAGAGAAGAGAAATGCATTCATCCGAGATGCGTAGAGAAGAAGCATTTGCAGAAGCAGCAGTAAATAGACGGGCGCAAAATTAAACTTAATTAAAACGGTCGGATCCATCTGTCGCGCGCGCGCTTCTCCACTTATTTCTGGCCGCAAAGTATATATCCTCCGCGACGGAAATAGAGACACGCATCGCATCGAATTCCGGATTGATTCGGATAAGGTTTTGTTTTTCCGCTTTTCCTCGTCGTTTTGCCAATGGGTTTTATGCATATGATGGACACCCACGGCACATCGTGTCGCATTAAGAATGCGTAATTAGCGTGCACGAAGAGGCGCGGTGGAGGAGGGAGGTCTAAGTAATGGGCAACGGATGTCGTTTTGAATGTTTCATCGCGAGTTATTGTCTCCTTGGTGGAGGGAATGAGGAGGAGGAAGAGGTGGAAAACGAAGACTTGGCTTGCACGAGGAAGGTTCGCGTTGCCTTATTAATATTAATGCTTCAAACCGTACGGACGATTCCAGAAACTGCTGTCTCTACGATGGTGCCTTCTTATTATGGAAAACGCGATCCGCACATTCTATTGCACACGAAATCATCAACGAAGACGACAACAACAACGAAATATAGTAATCCAATCATTCCCATCTTCAGTCAAAAGACCCAAGAGTTGAATTACATAAAAGAGAGCCACCCTCGCAGCTGGTCTTACATATTTTCCAATCCCGGAAACATAACATAATGCAATTTGCAGCATCTGCGCTTAATCCCGAAGATTATCCCTTTGTCATGCACACAATCGACACGACAAAATGCGTTAATCTCTGTTTACAGTTCTCAAAAGAACTTCGTAAATAAGTCCTCTTTGAATTATTCAATTTCTCTTGGAAATGGGGGACAGGTTGAGTTAAATCAGTTATTCAGCACGCGACACAGGAACATAGACCGGACTACGACACATCCGGACTTTCCATATCTAAACTATACGCTAACTAAATACGATTGAAATGCGCAAAGCGAGAAGATCTCAATCGCCGAAATTTACAGTCGTCTAACAAACGCCAAATTCATTCAGGATGAATTGTTGAGTTGAAAACGAAATGTTTGCGATCCGAGGTGTGAGATATCCGGATCGCGCCTTCGGGGTCTAAGCGTTGCGCTTTTGTTTCGTAGAACAATAAAGGATAATTATTTTCATCTTGCACTCTCCGCTCGCTTTTTCAATAGAATACTTACAAACTGCGACCGTTTTATCTCGGCTCAGGCCGTTCACTCTGATAGTTCACTGCTAGTTAAACTGTAGTTTTATTGTACCATCATCGATAATAATCGAATTCCATTATAGAAAAATTACACATTTTTTTCAGCAAACCTCGTCAATCAATTCATTAACATTTTAATTACAACTCAATGACAAATTTAATTTAAAATTAATATTAACTTTGCACTTAATCATTATCATTTCAAATCATTATTACTAAAATCTATTAGGTTTTTTTTTACTTACTAAACTCATAGTACAAATGTTATACAATGTGTATACAGATGTTAATATCATTTTAATATTTGATAGAGTGAAAGAAAAATCAATTTTACTGAAATTATTGAAAAAAAAGAAACCATTAAAAATTAAGATTTTATTGCTTCATTTTTGTTTTTTCTTTTGTAATATTTAATTTGATTCACATTTTTACAAATTTATATTTATTTCGTAAAACATACAGTACATACATTATGGATTTAAACATTTATATAAATAAGTTACGAAATATGTAAGAAAACCGTTAAGTTAACACGTTTCACCGTCGGATCTTTTCATTTTTGGTTTAAGGAAAACCATCGTGTTTTCTCTTATTTAAAAAAAGTTTCTTTTTTGTGGTTTAATCTTTGCAAATCTATTAACCGGTTAATTCAAGTAACTTTAATTATGTTTAAATCTTGGAAATAGAGAGAATGCAATAAAATAAACAAATATATTAACCGGTTAATCCAAGGAACTTTAAATATGTTTAAATCTTGGAAATAGAGAGGATGCAATAAAATATGTACGTTTTTGTTGATTATAAAAATAAAAATGCTTTTCATTCTTTGCCAAAAGATCGTCCCAGTTTCATACAATAAAATATTAATAATAACGAACACGTCTTTGCTTTTCGACAAAAATACTGGCGTGATGCAATACAAACTTAAATCATCCATTCTTTTAGTGTTTTTTTAAATTTTATATATAAAAATTGTGTATTTTAATAAAATATTTTTGATTTTGCGTTTTGTGAGTGACGTTTTTGTTCAAAGAAACAAAGAAAATATAAATATAAAAAAAAGAGAATTCTTCATGTTTTGCATGCATTTATTCGTTTCCAAAGTGTCTTAGCCTACTTAAAGCTTGTTAATGTACGAGCACGATTGAAGGCCAACGCACACCGCTATTGTTTATGTTTATTGTTACGAATTCAATGAAACCGTTCTGCATTTAAAGTCACGGCTGTTTACGTTACTTTTTTGTTTTATTATATATGTATAAATCGATTTCAAGTCAAGAAAGTATTGTCAGGATATTTTTCCCATATAAAGCCTAAAATTCATTCTTTTATTGTGTATGTATGTGCGTGTGCATTTCCTAAAGAAATGTGAACCGTATTTGATTATTCACCGTTTATCTACAACAGTTTTGCAGCTTGTATTGAAGAAAAAGCACAGTTTTCAAATGTAAACTTGAAATTTATTTAATTTTTACGTCTTCTTCACTTATTTCTTTAACAACAATCATAAAGTCTACTTTTCAAATTCGATTTTCATCAAAAAAAAAAATGAAATCTCTCTAATTAGAATATAAAATTAGATACGTAATATTAGTTAATTATATAAAGTTTTTTTTTCGATTTTCATACTGATTTTTCATCAAATTTTGAAATCACAACGATGATAGTGAAAATGGAAACTTAAAGTAAAACTGAAGATTATTTTCTCTCTCACTGCACATTTTCTCTTCAAGCACAGTTTTCAAATGTAAACTTGAAATTTCTTTAATTTTTACGTCTTCTTCACTTATTTCTTTAACAACAATCATAAAGTCTACTTTTCAAATTCGATTTTCATCAAAAAAAAAAAATGAAATCTCTCTAATTAGAATATAAAATTAGACACATAATATTAGTTAATTATATAAAATTTTTTTTTCGATTTTCATACTGATTTTTCATCAAATTTTGAAATCACAACGATGATAGTGAAAATGGAAACGTAAAGTAAAACTGAAGATTATTTTCTCTCTCACAGCTTCAATTAGTTTTAATAGCTGTAATTAGGCGTTAAGTTTAGACTTTTAATTTTCGTGAACTAATTACGTCCTTTTGGAAAATTCATGAGCAGGCGTTTCTTGTTTCTCTTTTTTTTGCGAAGTACTTTAAAATAATGGAATTTCAAAGAAAACATATATTATATGATAAGAAATAAGCATTAATTGGTGTGAAATTGAACTGAAATTGTTTTTTTCTGTACCTGTTGTGAGTTTGAGATTTGAGATATGAAGAAATGGTTGGAAATCAAATATCACTTTCGCTTTTGGTTTCATAAAGATTCCCAACTGAATTCGTTAATTGATACAATCTTTTTTTTTTTTGAATGATGTTTAATAAAACATTTATTAATTTAATTGGAAAGTATCGGAATTGGCTTTAAACGTTGATTTAAGATGTAGAAGAAAAGAAATAAATGGAAAGATCGTCGAGTATCTCTCGTGAAAGAGGATACGGTAATGTATTAAGAATGACGGTGTGCCTGAATACCATTAAGAGAGTGCACAAGAGCGTTCAATAAACAATAAAATAAACACGTAATTAAAATGCCACCTGAGCCCACATTTGCACATAAATTAATCGAAGGCGTTTCGCGTTTCCTGAGATTATCTTGTTGTTGTTGTCGTTGAGCACATTCTAAAATATTGTTGTTTTGTTTCTCTGGTTCATCGGGTAAATCGATTATTTGCCTCTCTTGTAAAGTGTCTGGGAATGGGAGAAGAGAAGAGAAGAGGAAGCAGCGGGGTGTCGAGCCGGAGGAGGCATATTATTCATCTCTGTCAGAACGGTAGACAGTGTCGTCAATCTTTCGATATTCCCCACTTTGCATGACACGAAATCAAACAAACGATCAATCAAACAAACTCTCATTATTCAGCATTCTCATTCTCAACTCTGTTCGGTTTCAGATTTCGTTGGTGGACATCGCCGCGGACGCGAAGCTTCGCAACCAGACGGTGCAGGAAGTGCAGAAGTTCTGCTCACCTCAGTTGGTAAGTTGGGATTTTTGTTTTCTTTTAGATCTTGATTCTCGTTTGGGAAGTGCGAGCGAGTAGAGTGACATAATCCGTGCGGATGACAGTTTCGAGAACACCTATTTCTCATTCGCGTTCGCTCGGACAAGAAGAACCAGAACGAGAACAGATCGAGATTAAGATTGGGAGGAGACGGATGGAATCCGTGTTGGCTCCGGAATATTATATTTAAATTGGAATGACTTATTCATGCTCCGATCCTCGTTTATTTTCTTTTTACTCATTTGTTTTCTCTCTCTTTGTTTTTTTGCAGAATAACTTTTGGGAATGCCTGAACACGTCGTTCGAAGGTAAGACAAACGTTAATACAATAATGAACGCCCTTATCAATTAATTATCTGGCGCAATTTCCATCGGGGATTTATGTGCACACCTTAATGATAGCTTTCGGTCAGGATTTATGGTCTTAATGTAAATATGGAGCTGATTGGGGGCTCGGATGCTGCTGCTGCTGCTTCAGCTACATTAAGTGGTCCTCTTGTAATTTATTTCGAGTACCAATTATTCCCGGGAAGAAATTATTCGCGTGTAATTCTTCGTCTTTCGTTGTGCTCCATCCACTCTTCTTCATCCTCGAACGGTGGGTCCGTCGCCAAGGGGGATGAGGCTTTCGTTTGTTTTGCAGATTTTTGTTTGTTTGTTTTGAGGATGGTCGAGGGTAAGAGGAATGGCGTGTTGAGAGCGAGATGTTCGTGTGCGATACGGCCTCCTCGGTTGCGGCTACTTTATCCCGAGCATCGTGTTCGGGATGTCCTCTCTCTTCGAGGTCTTTAAATTTATTGCCCGGTTTCGCCTCCGTGCACCGAACAAAACGAAACTCTCCAACCTACCGCACGCTCTCTCAGCATCACCATCCATATAACCAAAGAACTGCAACAAACTCACACTTTTACCATTTCTTTCATTTTTTTTTTCTTCATTTCTCTTTGCCAATGGGAAAAACCAAAGACAAATATCGTGCGGGATTCAGTTGGAAAGAGATTCAATAATGCCGCCGCCAATAGAGTTTAATCCCTTCAGGCCAAGTGCTGGAAGCTGCTTAGAAACCTTATGCATATTAATCCAATGATCATTCATCAGCAATCTCATATTTTCAATTTATTTAAAACATAAATAATTAAAATTATCAATTCTTGATGTTATTTTAAATTTCATTCATACAAATTTATAAATAAAAACATATAAATTATTAATTAGATAATTAGATGATCCAAGAATTAATACTTATAATTAAACATTTATTATAAATTTAAAATGATATTGTTTTAGAAAACAAAAGTTACGTTTAATGCACTGATTGATAATTTAAATTGCTGAGACTTGTATGTTCTGTAATCTCATTATCAATTACTTGTAATTACATAAAGTACTTTCTAATAGTAATGTTAAGAAAATTTCCTTCATTCAAGTATATAATTCAACTTTTGTTAGTTAGTATTTTTCTACGTGATTCGAAAATGTTGTTTAATTCATTTGTGGATTTATTGCTGGTATTTTCATTGACCCTTCGTGATGACTAAACGGTTTAAAATATTCAAAACTTTAATGACTCCAATCCAATAATTCCTCACAAATCGATAGATCTAAATTATGTAAATACACAAAGATCGATCAATTTACTATTTCTAATTTACTGTTATAATTGTTTAAAAGTTTGAATTGATGAGTTTTTACTTGAATGATTTGATATAAATAATACAAATTTCTAAATGAATTTAACTGGAGGATTAGTGGAAGTTACCACTGGCGACATCTATTTTTACTCATTGTAACAGAACCTGAAGATACCTGTTAACTTTAAAGAAGACAGTCAATTCTTACATTTAGAGTCTACAACACAATAACTATGTTATTAATGTATGAAATTTTTAGAGAGTAGTAAAAAAAATAATAAGTTAATCTTTTAACAGTAAAGGCTTTATTGTCGAAGGAATTGCGCAACGATTTATGGGATTTGGATAAATTACGACTCTTAGGTCAAAGCGTTCTTAGATAACGGATAATATCAATTTTGTTTTCTAAGCTGTTGCATTCATCTTCACTTGAATTAAATTCATTTTGATGCAGTAATTTAAAATAAAGATTTGTAAAAACACTATTAGATTAGACAAAAATAATTTTAGATTAGTTATAATATTAATATTGTGTCTTTAAATGTTAGGTGAATTTGCATATTGAGACCAAAAGATATAAGACTTTATGGATTCCCAAAGTTGTTCCTAATGATCTAATCTTGTATTGTTAAATGTAATGGTCTTTGGATATTCGTTTACAAGTAAACGTATGATACAAATAACCGCGTAGTCCGAGGAGGAGCAGCAGCAGCAGCAGGATCCTAAGATCGGATCTCCTCGAGGCAATTATTTGCCGTTGCGCCGGCCATAAATTCGGCCTAATTACAGAAGCGATCTCTTTCTCTTTCTCACTCTCCTTCCGCTCCCCGTGTAAATTACCGGCTTCGTTAAAATCCTTCGGACTTATCTCGTCCTTTTCCCCCATTTCACCCATCATCTCGCATCTTCTTCATACGTTTCGTTACCGTTCTTTGCAGAGATGTCGCGAGGGGAGTCCTGGTTCGGCCGGGTGTGCTGCCCGCTGCCGCAGAGCGAAAATTGCAGAAGGGCCTGCGTGACGGCGAACTCGATTTACGACCTGTCGCAGGGCTGCAGGAAATCGGACGAGATTTCGTTCTTTAATTGCTTGGACAGGCAGTACGTAGGCTACGAATGCTGCTCGAACGCGAGGTCCCCGAACTGCAAGGAAGCGTGTCTGGAGATCTTCAAGAGCAGATTAACGCCCACCCGTCTCCAAAGGAACATGGTCTTGGAGCAGTGCGAGTACGACAGTCCGAAAGTCCTAGGATGCGTCAAGAACTTCATCAAAGTCACTCCAGCCACCAATTTGCATAAACGTAAGCTTCGATTGCTTCGAAAAGCGAAGAAGTAACATGTTTTATATAATTTGCAGATATGAAATGCTGCGAGAAATCCAACAAGAACAAGTGCAGGGAAGCCTGCAAAGAGATTTTATCGCTGAACAATACTCTGCAGGAAACCATGGACGGTTTGCAAATCGGAGGATGCGGATTTCCTCTATTCCAGGTACATAATCAATGCTTACATTAATGGTAATAACATTATTAATTTATATCTATTTTCATTACAGGATCAGTTTTGGCAATGCTTCATGAAACCCGTGGATTCCATCAACACCGTGGAAATCTCTCGCATCGATCGTGTTGGAATGGATTCGGCCAAATGGCATTGCTGTTCCAGGGCGAGCACCAACGAATGCAGGAAACTCTGCTCGAAAACCTTCCTCAAGGATTGGTCCACTCTGTGGGATGACTTCCATCTGAAATGTCTGAGTCAAGTCGCACAAGAGGAACTTAGGAATTGCATTGATGAAGGTATTTAACTCATTTTTTATAAGAAGGAAACAATATAATCATATATTTGAAATGGTTACAGTTGATGAGCCTTGTGAATTGGGATGCGACGGACTCAGTTTCTGCACCAATTTTAACAATCGTCCCACCGAGCTCTTCCGCTCCTGTACGCCGGAAGCGGACGACGCGGCGAGGAACGACGTGACTCTTTGGCAGACCAGACACGAGCTGACCTTGCCCGGTCTCACTTTACCCCTGAAGAATATCTCGAAATGCTCTCCAAACACTTGGAAGGCCGTCGCTTGCACTTTGCAGATCAAACCGTGCTCGAGAGTCTCTCACGCCAATCAGATCTGCAGGAACGTGTGCTTGAATATTCTATCCGACTGCGTGGATTGGAGCAGAGTACCGGTCAAGCATTCGCCGGAAACCATTTGCGCGATGCTCTCTCCGGAAGACCCCGCCGTGTCTTGCATATCTTTGGAGAGTTTCCTGGCGCCATCTGGAAACACGTACGAGAGCATCGACGGACAAGTGTCTTCGCCGTGCAAGGGCGATCCGTGCAAGGAGTCGGAGATCTGCACTGTCAACAAGAACTGCCTTCCTGGGAAGCACTGCTCTCCGTACAAATGCACGCCGGGTTGCAAATTAGGAGAGGTTTCCGAATATTTGGTACCGGAAGGCACGTACGTTCGGATACCTTTGCCCAATAACCAGAACCGTTGCTTGAAGATCTGCAAATGCACTTCGAATGGTATCGACGAATGTCAGCCGTTGCCGTGCGTTCTTTTGGGCTCTTGCTGGAACAACGAGAGGAGGCACGGAGAGATCTTCCATTTGGAATGCAACAAGTGCACTTGCTATGCGGGAGAGATGATCTGCAGCAAGAAGCAATGCGAGAACAGTTTGCTGGGAGGAAGGAATACGGCTTATACAACTTTACCTTGCAATTGTCCTCCGCATTTCGTTCCTGTTTGCGGAAGAAACGGGAACATCTATCCATCAGCCTGTTTAGCAAAGTAATTATATATTAAAACATTTGAATCTAAGCTTAATTTTTATTTTTTTCCAGATGCGCCGGCTTAAGCGACTCCGACATTGAATATGGAGCATGTCAAGATCCCTGCAGAAACAACCCTTGTGCTATTGGGAAGAAGTGCGTTCCCGACACCAAAATATGTTTGTCTTTAAAGCACAAACCCTGCACGCAGTTCCAATGCAGTAAGTTACCTAATTGGCTAAGTTTAGATGATTGAAGTAATTAATTTTGTGTGTTTTCAGTTAATGGAACTGCGAACTGCGGAAGTCTCCCCAAAGAGCCGGTCTGCGACGTGGACAACAAGGAGTACGCAAACTCCTGTTTCCTTGCACACAACAACCGTAAATTCGCCTACCAAGGACCTTGCCTGCAGGGATGCGCCTATTTGGGGGAAGTTTGCGGCATTAACGGTAAAACGTACATCTCTGAGTGCGCCGCAATCGCCGATTACGTGAGCGTGGATTACGTCGGGCCTTGCGTAACGGTCGGAGCCATCACCGACAGCAAAACTATTCAGTGTCCAACCATCAAGTGCAAACCGTTACCACGTGCAGACTGCTTAGGCTTCACTCCACCGGGAGCCTGCTGCCCGATATGCGGAGGAAGTCTTCGGCTCTTGTACTCCACCAAGCAAATCGATAGAGCCCTCTACGTTCTTCAAACGCAAAACACGCAGTCTTTAACCCTGAAAGCCACGCTTCAAGCCTTGGAACGACAAATCCAAGTGGCGCAATGCTCTCTGAAAGGATACCTTACAGTGGAGGTGGACATCTTCGTGGTGGTACAAAGCACCGAGAAGAGACCTACGGCTTTGCAACTGGAAGCCTGCGTCCGGGAGGCCGAGAAGATCGCCAGTTTGATCAACAGGCAGAGTCCGAGAGTACAAAGCGAGATCAGCCTCAGCAGCCTGGTTACCGCCTCCGTCGTGCATACGGTTCACAGCAGTGCTACAATAACATCTTCATCGTTCCTTCTAATTCTTCTAGCCATGACCTTTCTGCTGGGAATCGAGCTCCCCTAGGCCAGTACCAAGATTTTTTTTTAACACTGTGATATTTGCATATACGTTTAAGTTATTTATATATATATGTGTATATTGACGATGTTGTATATACATTTCGAGTTATTATTTTTTTTTGTAAGCACACTGTATATTTACTGTGCCATAATGTAAATAATATTTCAATCGCCAAAGAATTCTGCAAACATTTTTGTATTGTACATTATTTAGATAACAAAAAAAAAAAAAGATGATTCTCCAAGTGCCAAAACTCACGATACTATTTTATTATTTTTTTTATTATTATTATTACTTTATAAATATTATCATTGTTGACGAAAAAAAAAATCATATTATTATATTGGCTAGTCCCTAAGATTTTGCAATAATAAATCTATTTGCATTATTTAAAACATGCAGTGTTTTCATCACATAACCATACCCAATCGCGAACGCGAACAAACAAATGAAAATTTGTAACTTTGTATAAAATCCTACTTGATTCAAATAAAATAATTATTATAATATGAAGAAATACAAAATATGACCAGTTGATTCAAAATGATAATTGAAGTATAAGAGTATGATATTTATTAAATTTACTATGAAAAGAAACGAAAACTTTTCGTTTGAATATGCTATTGTTATGCAACCAAACTGTCATGTAATAATTGGATGCGTTGACCGGACGTGAAAAAAGAAACAAAAGAAGGATTTGGGACTGGAAAAGGAGGTGGGTGGTGACGCTTTAATTAAGACCTATTTCGTAAAGTGGCCTTTTATACTTAATTAAAGAAAATTGGATTGTTTTGGCGCTGGTCGTCATTTGGCTACACGCATCGTGGACATCGTAATTATGCATGCAGAGTTTGCCGCCGCCGCTTCACATTATGTAACCCAATTCGAGTGGAAAACTCGGCCCTTCCCGTTAACTGAGTGCTCGAAGGGATTGGAGGACCGACGAGGAGGTGGACGTGTGGACAGCGGAGGCGATAATTTTACATAATAATTAAGCAGAGCAGGACGAGAGGCGCCGATTAATTTGACGACGCAAGACGCAGGAATAATTATGCGATACACGTCCATCCAAAAGCAGCAGCAAACAACAACAAACAATATCTTACTTAAGACTTTACTTAACATTAAACTGAATTATAGTAACAAAAAAAAACAATAATGGTTTCTATAGCAACTTGCTAAAAACATACAAAATATTACAATATAATTTCTATAGCAACATCAAAAACAATTGATTAAACATTACATTAATATCACTAAAGTTTTATAAGTTTATTAATTCAAGTTATTAATAGAGAATTGAAGACTTATTAACTGTAATTTCTAATTAAATTCAATACTTTTATAGTTATGATTAATGAATAACAATTTTGTAATATGTATGTTAAAACATGTCACTGTGAAGTTTTAATACGCTTTTTGATAAGTTTGTTATTAAGTACAGTTGGATGAATGTCATGAATGGGATTTGTCTTTGTTGTCATCAACATATGTGTGTGTTTTATGTAATTTTCCACCGGTTTGGACATATGAATATGATATTGACGCGCGCCCATCCCCACCCCGACGCTTCTCTCGTCCTGGCACCAGGACCGCGTGGGCGTCGCGACGCTCTCCTCCAGTGCGCTCCCGTTTTCCGCAGCAAGCGGTGTCACACACAGCAAGTAGTCCAACCGCGAAGAATTGAGACGCGAAAAAAAACTTTGATTCCATAACAAAAACATAGCGAACACGAGTTTTCTTCGAGTCTCCGCCCAAAAGGTCAGTCGCCTCTACTACTTAAAGCTAAAATGCAAACTTGCAATCGATCACAAAACTTTATACTTCCTCGCCGCAATACTTTTCAGCCCATTTCATTTATTTATTCAACTTATAAACTTCAAAAAATAAAAGAAAATGATGAAACAATTCTTACCATAATTGGAATGAATTGTGAGTAAAATCAATTATTGAAATGCGACGCCGAATGCACAAAAATAAAACAATGAGCGTATCGAATCAACCAGTTGGAAACTGTGTAACAAAAACTCGAAATTAATTTGCTTTGTTCCGAAGTATCGATCGACTTTGCGAAATCTCGTTTCGTTGTTGCAAAATGAAACGATTGTAGTTTTCTGCGGATAGTGCGGAAGATTCGAGGGGGTTGCCGGAGGCTTTTCCATTAAAACTTCGGCGAGAGTCGCTAATTGCAGGACGCCTGAAAGCTGACGCCAATTTCTCTACTGAAATAATTGCTTGATTCCATTAAATCGTGCCGCGGGAAAATAAAATAAAATGAAATGAAAAAGCGCGCCCACCGAAGGAGCACTTGCATTTATCCTTCCTGCTCTCAATATCGATTCCGATATTTGTATCTAGACGAAAATAAATACGTTTCTCGACTCTCTTCGCCTCTCCCTACAAAACACAGATAAATACAACGAGGAATCGTTTTAAAGTCATCCCGTTTATTTTATGGATTCTTCAGCACTTCAGCGAAATTATTCATTTCAAGTATGCGCAACTGTAATAGAAACGCATCAGAATCGTCGTTTTACCAGCAAGAAACAATATTGAATCGAGCTGTAAAATATGAGATTCAAACATAAAGCGTAGCAATGCGAAATATTAATACTTATTTAAGTAGTTGCAATTTTGCTTTTGTTAAGTAATTGAAGACTTACCATTACTTAAGTACAGCCAAATTAAATAATTAAGTTTACAAACTTATATAAGTAAAGTAAATGTTTAATTAATTAAGAAACGTCCAAAACTATTTTCATTAATTCCACAAAGATATGCAACATCTTAACAGATTGTTACGTGCTTCAAAGCAAAGCAAGTTGCATAACTGTTACCGACTGAGTAAACGTGCTGAGTCAATTTGGTTACATAAGTTCGAGGAAACTTGGACGGTTCATCTTCTGCGACCGAGTTCGAAACTCCACTTCGTAATTAATTCCGGTACGCGCGTTATTATTCATTCATTTATTTTTATTTATTTTCTTTTATATCTATATAAAATTATAATTAAACTTTCTAGCAAAAGCAAATGTTTAATATTAATTAGCAAAAATTTCTTTGTTGTGCGATGAATTAATGAACGTCTAGAGAGCAATGCATTTCTAAATGCTAGTAACGTCAGAATTTGTATGTTTTAGTTTTGTATTTGAGCCACTGGTCATTTCTTCTTTCGTCCGTTATGTTTTACTGTGTTTCATTTGTGTTTGTTGCCCACTTTCCACCTAATGCATACAGCGATGATTTACGGTTAGAATCAGAAAGTAAAGGCTGTAATAAGACTTCGCTTATTATTATTTTATCAACGTAACACAGATTTATTCCTTATAATCATAATCATAATAATCATTATCATAATCATCATCATCATAGTTATAAGAAATGTTTCTTTAAAAGTGCGTAAGAAATAACAAATTTGTTGATTCGAATACAAACATCTTCAGAATCATTATAATCGAATTATTATACTAAAAAAAAATAATAATTCAATTAGACTAAAATAAACATTTTTCACCAAATTTCAGTAAATTTAGTTATAAATGTATTGCGTTTTCACTTAGAATCATCAACGTATTTAGTTTCAGTAGCCACAAACCATTATTACACATGACCGCAATTGTTCGAAACTTTACTTGTTTGTTATGTAATGAAACCTTTCTTCCTAGCAAATCTGAACTTAATTTCAAATTATATGCGGTTTGAGTCGATTTACCTTCTTTGCCTTTTAAACTAATGTTTTTCATATTTAATAGTTCCAAGTAAATCACCTTGAGGAACACCAGAATTTGTCTTTCACCTTTCTCCATTTACGATTTATTTGATCAGAAAATGGAATATTATCTTAAAGAATGTAGAAAGTATGTGTTATTATTAACAATTTTGTACTAAATCTTTGTCTTTCTTTGTGTATTCGCTTTCAATATTGCCTACACGTTTATATTAATAGATTAATAGAATTGATTTGTAACAATATACTACATTTTTTTGTAACGGTTTTCTGCATGCAAGTACATATCCTATTCAGAGCGAAATGAAGGTCACCTTTTGAAAGCTCAATAGTTCATTTACCTGATATATATGGACAAATAAACACTACAAAACGTCTTTTTATCATAATTAAAACTCACTTTCATTGACATTGGAAGGAGTGGCTTGAATGAAATGGCCAAGATTTTGAAAGTCTACAGAGAAATATTGGTTCGCCAATTCCAGTTCACTTTTTCAAACCGCAAATAAACGTAAGATTTTACAATATTTAAGTTGTATTTCATCATACTTATTTAAATTTTTCGACAGATTTGGTTTCACTTTTACAAAAAGCAAAAAAAACTTTTGATTTTGCAATAATTAAGATAAATTAACAATTTTACAATTTATAACTTGTATTTAGTAAAGAAGATAATTGAATTAAATTCACTATATAATAGATAAATTTAATGTAGTTGTCAGTGGATATTTTCCAACTAAATTTAGTTTCCATGCAAAGCAAATGAAATTAAACTGAATCCAGTTGGCCAAATTTAAACTCACCGTCAACTTATCGAAATATGCACTCTAACTTATTAGAGACGATGCAGAAGTCGTGTCCAATTAACGTACGAGAATATATAATCATAACAAATATGTCGAATCGTCAGGAATGCTTCCGAGTGAGGCGTTTGGAGAAGCCATTATTAC